CCTCCTCTCTCTCTCTATATATATATATATATATATCCTTCTAATGGGCAAAAAGCAAAGGAACCAGTGGCTCTGTGCACGGTCCCTTCCAACCAGGGCCCCAACAAAACCACACAAGTTCAGTCCCCCTTTACGATTCACACAAGCCAGCGAAGACAAATGCACCCAAGAAGAAAGAAAGAGGGAAAAGTTCAGAATGAAAAAAAGAAAATAATAATAAACGTTCCATTGGGGAAAAACCATGTGGAAATGGAAAGCGTCGTAGAGAGCTAAAGCGTTTAAGCAAGCCCGTGAACAGTGGCTCAAACCACGGAAAAAAAAGGAGGGGCGTGGGGATGGGGTCCCCCAATATGATGGTAGAAATTATTTTCTACTCCGTCATGTCATCCCTCCAAGGAGACTCACTTTCCGGCGCGCGCCGAACCCCCCCCCCCCCACCGCCGCCGTCCTGTCAAAGTTCCCCGTACTGCTGCCGGACAAGAGCGAAGCTGGAGGCCATTCGTGTCACATACGCAGGCTTACGAGTTGTTTGTGGATGAAATGTGCTTCGCTCCAGCTCGTCACGCTCCTTTAGAGCCTCCTGTTCCCTCTTCAGCTTCGCCCTCTGCTCCTTCCGCCGCTTGAGGCACTCCTCGTAGCGTGGGTAGTTCTTTGAAGTCAAGAGGGACTCAACACGTGTATTGCGAGCATCATTGAGGGTGGGACGAAACGGGTAATTCACCTCCGCCGCCGCCGCCTTTTCCTGCTTCGTCCTCTGCCGCTCACGCAGGCGCATACTGTCCTTCGCCATCTCTTCCACGCCACGGGGCGCCATGGCACTGGAGACCGCAGTAATCTTCGGTTTAAAGGTGCACGGGTCAACGTAATGAGAGTGATGCTTCTTCACAGCTGAAGCAAGCACAGACACGTTATTGGAATCCGGCGGTGAGATGGAACTACGAGCGATTAACTTCTTTGCGAGCTGCAAGCTGTGCTCAGTAATCACAGGCTTGAAAGACGGCGTCAACGTCTTTACCAAATGCTGCACACTACGAAACCGGTTGCGGTGGTGCTCATTTTGACGCTGGAGAAACTCGTCAAAGCAGGCCATGCGGTATCGTCGTTCGTCCCGAGAGACGGTTTTCGCTACTCCAGAGCTGTCTGCATTACCCACAGCAGCATCCGCCCGCATCTTTTGGGACAGCGGCGATTGGTAGTCCGTTTCTATGCAACTGGACTTGTGACCCCGTCTTGACCCAAGCACGTTGTGGAGAAACAACTCAAAGGTGTCTTCCACTGTGCACGTGGAAGTCACCCCGCCGCAGCGTTCACGAAGAGATTCCCTTTCCTCCCTTTCGAGTGACTCCATCTCCCCCAGCAGACGAGCATCACGTACTCTGTCAGCCTGCTCCTGCAGCCCTTGCGGATACAGCCGTTCAAACACGTTGCCCTTGTCCTGTGACGCCTTTTGGAAGAGCATAGCAGAGTTTGGGGAGACCTGTGGGTGGAAAGTGCACTCTAAGAGCTCCCTATTCCGCACCTCCGCCTCCGTTCGCTGTCGTCTCTCTCGTGTTCGCTCCTCCGCCCGCCGCGTCGCCTCAAAAGATTCATCGTAGGAGGCGTCACGGATATCAGAAAGGTCTATGGTTGGCCCATTCCGCTGCCTGGGGTCAGCGGCGTCTGGCATGGCTGCAACATGCACCTTCGGCACGGGACATGCGTCAATGGGTTCACCTGGGCGTCGCAGCTCTCTAGCCATCGCCTGCAATTGCCGCTGGTCACCTTCCTCATCTTCTTCTTCTTGTGTTTCTATAGTTTTGTCTATCGCTTCTTCCTTCTTCTGCGCCACCTCTCGCAACTCCGGTCGGAAGTGCGTATCCGTGCGCAGGCGGTCTTCCAGCTCTAGTCGTAATTGCTCCAACGCCGTGTAGTGCGTGGAGGCCCACTCACTTGACTCGTGCGCGTCTTTGCGCTTCTTAAGCGGCGTGCCTGGAGGGGCGGAAACGACGGGGACCGCCGACTCCACCGTGTCCCTCAGGGCAGGGTTGTGGTCATGCTCCTTTGAGCGTCTGTGCCAGTGCAATAAACCTCTTTCCTGCTCGCTGTAGATTATACTGAGGAGGCCCCGCACGTCACTCCTTCGTCCACTCTCCTCGCTTGTCCGGTCTGCGGCTTCACTCCCCGCACGAAACCGCACACCACCGTAGAAGGCGCCCAAGTTCAATTTTTTGGATATCGTCCGGCGGCTGCTGAGGGGGGAGCCAGAGGCATCCTCCGTGCCACCGCTCATGCAAGTTCTAAATGCATCGTTCTCCTCGTCGCTCGTCGTTTTGAACGACCGTGGCGACGTCTCTTGCGGGCTCTCCGCCGTCAGCGACTGGTCAGTGTCGGAGGTGCCCGAAGCCCCGTGCATTGTCAAGCGCAACGGCCTGAGGCAACGGTGAGGAGAGGCACGGAGTGTGACAAACAAACGCGAAAAAGGGCGAAGAGGAGAAAGTGCAATACACATATGCATGCACACGCACACACACACATGCATATATATATATATATATATAGTCTCCCGGGAGAAGGGAGGAATCCACAAAACGCGTGGATTCAGGACAAAACAGACAGGCACGCGATAAAACAAGAAATGGACGTGTTACGCTGGCACAGCAATAGAACTCCAAATCATCGGCAATGAATAGCATCTAAATAGAAGAAAACGAGGAAAAAATTTTGTCGTTGTTTTTTCCCCGTTTTTCTTTTTCCTTGTCTGTTCTTTTCCTTTTTATTGCGTCCCCCCCCCTTTTTTTTTCGCTCTCTCAATTGCTTTATTTCGTGGTTTACTTTTGGTTACAAGTTGATGACGCCGGCAAGTTTGTGGGCATTGCGACGATGGACATTTTCACATGCATCCCTATACTTTTCGTACTGCTCGCGAGCCGCGGCGGAGAGGGAATGCAGGAATGACTCTCGCTCCTCGTCGCTCAACCGCAGACACCAGCCCGTGTAGAGCTCTACAAAGTCGTATGGGAAACCGAGTTCTTCCTCGTCCGTCTGACCATTCCAAAGATCCGCCGACGGAGGCGCCTGGAGCGTTTTCGCCGGCACGCCAAGTTCCCGTGCCACCTGAAACACCTCACTCTTGTGCAGGTCGGAGATGGTCTGCACGTCAACAACGCCGTCGCCCGCCTTGCAAAAGTAACCCAAGTGGCCATCCTCGTCCATGTTCCCTGTACCCATGACGATCGCCGGAGTTCCGCCTTGACTGTAGAGCTGTGCCACGTAGTACGCCGCCGGAGTGCGCATGTAACTTCGCAGCTGTCCCCTGGCAAAGTCAGTACCCTCGATCCCAACAGCCGTCTCGATAGTCTTTGACAACTGGCTGAAAATTTCTGTCTGGTCCACAACGACCTCCAATGCCCGGCAAGACCGAATGTTCTCCAGTCCTCTCTCAAGCGCCCAAGCACTGCTGCAGATTGGCTGACAGAGTCCAATATTCTTCAAAATGGGGCTGTTAGGCAATTGCATTGCCCTTGAACAAAGGGCCAGCACCACCGCAGAGTCGATCCCGCCAGAAACACTTGTAACACACACCTTGAGTCCATTGGAGGCCATATATTCGTTCAGCACGGCACACTTGCGCTCAATCCAAGTGGCGGGGTTGAAGCCGCGTCTACTGCGGTATTCCGCGAGCCTCTTCTGAAGCTCCTTGTGAAGAGCAAGCTCGGAGTTCATGAATGATGCAGTACTATGTGGAAACCTACATGCGGCATTGCCGTGGTCGCCAGACCCCCCCCCCCCCAAAAAAAAAGAACCAGACGGAGACGGAGACTAAGTCGCTGCCGGTGACCCGGCCGCCAAGCACGGGACCGAAACAAATCTGTCCAGCAACACAACAGTAGAAGCCCAATTGGGTTTCAACGGCTGATGAGTGCCAAGGTAGTAGAGATACATTACTCCATTTCGTAACATACATGCTGACGACATATGAAAAGCAATAGTGAACGCAAGTGCGTGTGATATGCAATGTCACGAAAGTGTGCAGTAAAAAAAAACACAAAAACAGAAAAAAAACAACAACAATAAAAGATGGATTCGCAAAAAGAAGAAGGAAGAAAAACTATATAAGAATTCCTTCAAAAAATGACACCCCTGAAAGAACCAGCGCCCATCACCCCCAACCTTATGCTTGTTCCAATGAACAAACACTCCGATGAAGGGAGGAAGTAAGTAATAAAGAAAGCGAGTAAATCGGCGTGCCCTCTCAGCGGTATATATATATATATATATGTATAGCAAATGATGCAGACAGAGAATGCATGCTTTACAGTTGTGTAGATCGGTTGAGTAGAATATGCCAATAACTCTGACGGCAAAAAATGTGCCGGAAAGGAATATATTCACGTGCTTAAAGCACTTTTACTCCCTCTTTCTCGACTTACTTGTGTGGGTCATTCTTTTTCGTTTTTCACTATATTCCCTTCTCTTTATTGCAACTAATCTTTTCCACTGTATTTATACATTTCAGAGTTCTCCATGGTTCGCGCCAGCATTCGCATCAAAATCCTAGTCGCCTACCACAGCTGCCCCAGGTTCTTCAGGATGAGTAGGGTCAGCCTCGACTGGGTGCCCCACGTCAGCGGGAGCCTCCGCAGCAACAGCTGTCGCCGCTTCATCACGAGCCAGTTTCTCTGTCGAGACCCCTTCCTCGCTTGGGTACTCGGCGGTGTTATGATTTACATCACTGGGCAAAACATCACCGTCCTGGCCAACATGCTGCTCATGTTGAGCCGGATCCGGATGCTGCTCCGCTGGGGGCTGTTCTTCAGTCGGATATTCATGTGCAGCCTGTTCTGTGTGCTGCTCATGTTGAGCCAGATCCGGATGTTGCTCCGCTGGGGGCTGTTCTTCAGTCGGATATTCATGTGCAGCCTGTTCTGTGTGCTGCTCATGGTGAGCCAGATCCGGATGTTGCTCCGCTGGGGACTGTTCTTCAGTCGGATATTCATGTGCAGCCTGTTCTGTGTGCTGCCCATGGCGAGCCGGATCCGGCTGTTGCTCCGCTGGGGCCTGTTGTTCAGCAGGATGCGGGGCCGCAGCTACGTTGATTTCGTGACTCGGTTCAGTTGCTTCCGCGGCCCCAGTTTTTAATTCATGTGTCCCATTGGGCATTTCATTATTCGATCCGTTTGGCGCTGCCGATGCATCTGCATGGGAAGGCAGATGACCTGCATGATGCTTCGAGGCAGCTTCCGTTGGGTATTCCGGTTCAGCGGCTTGTCTTGCCTTGTAATCGAAGGTTTTTCGCTCCCCCGTGGAACCCGCCGTGATGGCGAGGCCACTTCGCTTCGTTCGAAAATTTGACATCAACGACTGCTTGTAGTTGGATGCCTCCTCCTTGTCTTGTGTGCGGTGCTCCTTCTTGTACTCGTCCATAAACTTTTCCTGCCAGAGGATGCCCTCCATGATGAGATCCCGTGGCACCTCCACCCCGCCTCTGCGCCGCTCCTCGATGTAGCTGCGGAGAACCTCCTCCTTCGCCACCTCCTCGTGCGGTGTGTCCTTCAGGTCGGAGAGCTTCACCAACTCGGCGTGCCGCACCCAGGTGTCGTCGTTGATGCAGCTCAGGTAGTCGCGGATCACGACATCGTCTGGGACCAGCGAATGGTGTGTCTTGTCCTCCTCCATGTTGAGCTCCGTTAGCGCCCCCGCCGCAGCTGCAGGGTTCTCCGCCATGATTCACCCAAATTCCCGCTCCGCGAAATGAGCCTTTCCTCCCTTTATGTACTGAAATTTTCTTCTTGCAGCAGCCTGCGTGCGTGCTGCTGAGCCCGTTAATTGAATTTATACAGACTCTCGTCGATCGCACCTTGTATCCTTCCCACGCCTTTTTTTGGTTTTGTTTGGCGTCTTCTCTGTTGGCTCGGGCCCGTCTTGTTTCCTCCGAGAGGCAACAGCAGCCGCGACAAGAAGAGAAAACGGCAACAAGCAGTAGAAACAGGGAGGAAGAGAGGAGGGGAAAGACGGGGCGCGCAACGCGCACAGAATGGCAGGGAGGAGGTGTTTGCGGCGTCACCCGCAATAGAGACGAGGGAAGAACTCGCGGCCGGAAAGATCGGCACATCTCACTTCTTTCGACTGCCGCCTACGTGCCACGGAGCGAGGAGCACCGGGCGGCAATTAGAAGAAGTTTGCGCTCGCCGGCCGTCAACCCGTCGTCTGCGCGCGTACGGGTGCCATGCGTCCGTGAAGGCGTACGCCGCGAAGTCCGCCACCACACAAAGAAGAAACTAGAAGGAGCGGCAGTAAACGACGACGCCTTCGCCACCTACTGAAAGGAAAGATACAAAAAAAAAGAGAAACACAAAATAGGAAAACAAGCAGACGCCCGCAGCAAGATGCCAAGGAACACAAAAAGAGAGCCAAGAGGGAGGAAAAGACACAAATAGGGGTGCCGCAAGGCGGACACAGCAATCGAGCCAAATGTGGCGGCCCGCAAGTTACGTAGGCGCATGTATGCGTGCCCGACGGGGGGCGTCTATATGCCGCTCTATGACCACCGCAACCCCCCTCCCAAGGGATGGGCGCCGAGTTCAGCTGCTAACCGCGTTGTTGAAAAAGTGAATAAGACCGCATGAAACACCGTTGGCCTCAGAGGCCCCACGGCGCATCACCAGCTCGCTGTCGGGTATCGTTACCTCCGCAACTCGTAGCTCAAACTTTGGCGAGGAACGCTTACTCCAAATTTCCTGGTTCACCACCATAACACCTGACACGGCGGAAACGTTGTCCAGCTCCGACTCATCTCGCACCACGCCCTTCGCCCCATCCCACACGCCGCGGTGAGTTACGACAGCAAAACGAGGCCGTGTTGAGGGCAAAAACATGACATGAGGCATCCACTCGACTGCCGCGTCGCCGTTTAGCCTATCTTGCAACGGGAAGGAGGAATCACGCATTTCCCGCTTGACACGTTTCGTCTCTCGCTTCACTTCCTCCAGCTCCTCCTTTCCTGCCGAGAGAACGGAGCGAAGACTGTCCCACGCCAGGGAGGATGTTGGTCTGCCGCTTCTCCCATCAGCAGCGTCGTCGTCGTCGTCGTCGTCGCCGTGGCTCTCCTCTCTGCTCGCCTCCGGTACGTAGTCAAGACGGAGCGCCTGGAGGTGCTTCAGCTCGTGCTTTACCGCCGGCAGACCATAAATGGGGGCGTACAGGCGACTCTGAACGAGCGTCTCGACGACCCGACGGAGGCTGCCCGCCTCGGACGACCACCGCTCCACCATTTTGTTGCGCATGTCCCCCACCACGTCCTCGTTGCAGACGCCAAAGTGAATGCCGTTGACGGAGATGCGGCAGGGGTTGGAGCGGACCCAAACATCCCCGCCGTCCTGCACGCCGTACATCGTAGTCGGGAGGGCTGGCATCTGCGTCGCATCGTCCCTGTGGCTAACCAGGACCACCTTTAAGTGGGGCCTGCCCCCGCGATTGCCGTTTGCGGCGTAGTAGCTAGATATCACGTCCTCAACGCCGTCCAAGTAGGCGCCTAGCAGCTCATCAAACGTCCGCTGCATCAACGTCAGAAGCTCCTTCTCGAACTCCTCAAATTCCTTGACGAGCGGCCCACCGATGATGAGCAAGTCTGCCCCGCGTGAAAGAGCATTGTTGGTCACTGCAGTTAAAATTGAGCTGATGTCACGCCTAGGAAAGGGACCACTACAGAAATGAACACGTGTAGAAACGGGCGTCGAAGTCGACAGGGTTGGCAGCGGCCGTTCCACGCTCCATGGGAAAATCGGACGAGCCGGCAGAATTAATTGGCGAACTAAAACACCCGTCAAGGCACCTGACGAGCTCCGCTTGAAGGGGTCACCAACGACTCCAACGGCCATCCCAGGGTAGATGCCTGTAAACTGCGGCACCAGGCGTGTGTAGAGTGAGAGCCTCCCGTCAGTTCGGCCGCCAAGCGCCAGGTTAGCAGCCGCCGTCGTGGTCCCCGCGGCCGTCACCCCATCCTCATCTTCGGCCTCAACGTGAATAAACCCATTGAGCTGTGGAGTCTCTCTCGAAAGGGCATTGATGCACTCGACGTAGGCCTCCTCATCGTTAATATCTGTGACTGGGTAGAACTCCCATGGAAGGAGGAGGTCCTCGCCGATATCGCCTGGGTTGTTCGTCTGCGTAAGAACGCCCAGCGCCCGGTATCCCGGTGGCAAAACGCCCGCGTGAAAGCTGGATGACTCCCGTGCCTCATCCTCCTCATCCTCCTCCTGCTTCACCAGAGAGGCCTCTGTCGGCTCCGCCTTTGCCTCGCCTTGTTGAACGTCCTTCCTCCAGAGTGGAATCTTTGAGAACATGAAGCGGTAGTATTCGACGAGGCGTTGCCGCGTAGAGGCGTAGCCGGCGTCCTGTCGGTTGCAGTAAAGCGTGTTCTTAAAGCCCACCGTGTTTCGGGCGTCCACCCCCGCCCCAGCGACATTGGCCAAGCCGCTTACAGGGTCGCTCGCAAGGCGGGCGGGCGGATGATCTGCTCCAAGCAGCAACTCAAGATTCGCGGCCGACTTCCAGCGCGACCCTTGCTGCATTCCGAGAAAGAGAAACTCTCTTTTTCCACGCTCCCTCGCCCCACTCAAAAAATTTTCATTCGTTGCAAGGCGCAAAAAGAAAGAAAAGAAAAGAAAAATAGTAAATAAATATATATAGACGCACGGGGCGGTGACCCCAACACGGCGTCAAAGCTGCACTTCGTAGCAAGTGCCACCCACTCCAGGCTCCATGCACGCGCCTGATTCAACAACCGAGCAGAACAACGTGAAGCGGCGCACAGTCTGCTTTTCTCTACTTCCTTCACACACACTCCGTCTCACAGTATATAAAGAAAAGGAGAATAAAGAAAAAAGTGCATCACCGTGTGGGTCGTCCTATTACGTCAGTAGCAAATCCTAAAGTTTCAACCTCGTGACTCTTCGCTGCCTACGCCGATGTTGAGAATTGGAGGACGGCCTCGTTCAGGCGGGCATTCATGGCGGCGTATTGGTGGCTCCATGCTCCGACGATGGCAGTCGCTTGTTGGGTGTAGCGGCTTGTGGAGTCCGCAGCCTTGCCAAGGTGGGAGGAGACAACCGCCAGATTGGCCGTCGTATCGGCGTCTCCGGACCGCATAGCCAACGCATCGAGGAGACTACGCTCTGCCGCCGCGAAGTCGCCAAGCTCCATTTGGGCTAGCGCCGCGAGGTTATGGACCAGGACGCTCTGGCCGCAGCGCACGGAGAGTTCCTTAAACCGTTCGAGGGCCCTCTGATACGCATCACGAGACTGCGGCCCTTCGTGGAGACTCACTACCCCTGAGCACAGCACCGCCAGCACGGATTCGTCGTCCAACTGCTCCATGCTCTTTACCTCCTGTCTCGCCATCTCCGGGCGTTGCATCCGGAGGAGTGCCTCGACCACAACGACGCGCAGCTCCATCTGCCGACGCAGGTTGAGAGCCTCCTCTGGTGTTGGAAGTTCATGCAGCCAAGCCTTTGCCAACTTTAGCGCCCCAGCAGCATTGCCAGAGGCAAGAAGAGCAGAGGCGGCAAGCACCGCCGCCTGAACGCGTGCGGGACTTACTTCCTCCACGGCCCTTGTCAATTGTTCTAGCGCGGAAGAAGCAGCGGGGCTGAGGGCTGCGTCAGGCGTTTGTTTTTTAATGGCCAGAGAAAACTGCGCCCAGTGTTTCACTGCCAGTAACGTCGGATGAGTGGCGGCGGCCAACTGTGTCAAGACGGCCTCAGCCTGCCCCAACCCAACCTGGGCAAGCGAGAGAAGAGCCTCCCGCTCGGTGTTAAAGGCGGCTACATCGTCCTGTTTTCGGAGCGTCGTCTTTGCCCCGCTTGCCTCTGCGAGGGCCTGGTGGTAATTGCCGATTGTAAGGGCGTTGCGCGCCTCGTAGAAGGGGTCGGCCATGCTGGGGGGGGGGGAACAGGAACAAGTTATCGCGGCCCTACTCGAACACCACGACAATAGAGGTTGGAGGGAACGTTAGAGAAGCGCGTTGCACCGCCAGAGAACACCGCGAGAAAGACCCGGCAAGTCAATTAGACACATACACACACACACCACGCCACACCAGGACGAAGAAATTTAACGCGGCATAAAGAGCCACCGTCATGTGCAAAACGACATGCAGAAGAAAAAAACAGAAACAAAAACAAAAAATGGTTTCCTTCTGCTCCCTTGTTGAAGCCAATAATGTGACAGCCATGCTTATGCGTCAACACCCTCCAAGCCAGCGGTACGGAAGAACTGCAGTGTCGCCTCCACGCCCATAAACGCCGCCCCGTTTGCGGCAAAGGCACGCACGAGAGCTGGTGCCATTCCTCGATAAAGTCCGGCAAACCCATGGGTGTTGTACAGCCACCTTGCGCACCGCGTCCATCCCAGCACTTCGCCCTTTTTGGCAACTTGTATTCGCGTCTTGACGGTGTCAAGCGGGAAAACCACAATCCACTGCGCCATTCCTGCACAGCCCCCGGCAAGGAGGATGTGTGGAACGCTGTAGTTCTTCTCGCTCCCGAGGAATTGAATAAGCGAAGAGTAGCTAAAGAGGTATACACCCGCCCCAGGAATATCCCGTATCAGCGTCGCGCTGTAACCTTTAAAAAAACATTTGATTCCTCCATTCTCGTACAACCGTCGGGCGCAGTGCACGGTGCCGAGATACTGACGGTGGGGAAACAAGTGCTCCGTCTGCAGACGTATCTTTACAAGCTCAAAGGGAGTCATGATGGTGGCGTGCGCGACACCGCCACCTGTGGAGGCCATAAAATTTTCAAAGGCGCTGAGTCCACCGCCTGTGCGGAAGTGCTCTGAAAGGTCTTGTTTTTGGTACGTCTGGCCGGCAACATTGCCCTCGTTTGTGTGGCGATGCGGGTACGACACCGCGAAGTGGCGTTCATCGTTGTAGTAAAACTGCGATGCCTCATTGCGGGCGAAAAAATTCACAATGACGCCGTACGTCCCAAACAAGGCGCTGTTGGCAAACCCCACCGCACACATCGGCGCACACAGGCCCTTGTAAAATGCACGCACGCCCTTTGTGTGGTACAACTCCATCGCCGCCGCGAAGCTGCTTTCTCTGGGCGCTGTGGTAAGGGAGGAGACGCTAAGTGCACTTCGGCTCTGCTGCCAAACCTTGATGGTGTCAAAAGGGTGCCCAACTAGAAGCACGGAGACGCCACCCATCCACCCCGCTATAAAGTCCGTCATTTTGTTGGCGTTGGTGCTGCTTCTTCCTTAATGGCACTAAAAAAAAGCGAAACAAGCAAATGCGCATAAGCCAGCCGCTGCGTGCGTGCGCGCCGCGAGATCCCCCTTGCCTTTCCGCAGTAAAAACTAAAAAAAAGAAGAAGGAATCAGCCACAAATGAACGCGTTGGCGCGCAACTACATGCAAAGAGATATAAATATATATATATAGATGGATAGAGAGCGGGTGTGAGTGCGGGTGCGTATGCCAGCCTATCGTGGAAGGGGCGGCAGAGGCAGGGGATGAGGAGGAGAGAACAGGAAAAGGTTTCGGGAGAATTTAAATTTATCTAACACGCACACACACACCAAAAAGAAAATGGTGCGCTTCGCTCTGCAAGACAAAAGTGTGAAAAGTTATTTGTATACACAAAAAAAAACATTTTTTTGTTTCCTCTAACTCTCGCCTGAGGCTCCAATTCACTGCAAACGCACGCAGCGGGAAGCAAGTCCTCTTCAGTCTCCATTAAAATATCCCTGTGGGGCTCGTTGGTGTTCAAATGTCATTCACCGTTCGTTATTATTCTTTTTTTTTTTTAGTTCCTTGTCGCGTTATTGGCTTTATGTCGCCCTACACTGCCTCTGGACGGCTGGGGAAGAGAGAGAGAGAGCAAGCAAGAACAGCTTGTTCTCTTTGGCTCTCATTGTGTCCCTCTCCAGTACCCGGGGGCACGGCCAAGAGACACAGGCACCCGCACGGACGCATCGCATGGCCGTGAACGCAAACGCAGTCGAAGTTACAAACTCCACCTTCGCGCGGGTCGTCCGCGGCGAGGTGTGCCCACCGCCCACCTGCACGTGAAGTGACACCCAGCCAAGAGCGGGGGACACACACACACAAACACAGGGGTGGCGCGTGGGAGGGGAACAGCACCGCCCCCCCCCCCCCCTCTCCGCGGCAGTCCTCAGCGAAAAAAAGTAGCTCCCCGCCCGACGCCCGCCAATGGTGGCAAAGAAAGCTTAAGCGCAAACAAATAAAAGAGATTACACAGAAATACAGGTGCACACTTCCGTCCTGGTCATCCCAATGAGCAGGAGCGGAAGCTACGCCGGTGGTGTATGTAGAAATGGACAGAGGCAGGTCGGGTGAGAAGAACATCCGACAACGCCTCGTCCCACCATCTGCTTATGTGCAGCTTTGTTTTCTGCAGTGCGCCTCTTTTCCCCGGGGCACAGCGTTGAGGCAGGCCCGCGACACACCGGATTCGCCCCGTCGCTGCGGCCAGCGCACGCCCAAAGTAAGCAAAGCAAAAGCAACATGCGCGCACGCCCAGGTCAACTCTTCATGGAAAAAAAAGTCGAAAGCAGAATGGGCCCACCACACATCTATATAAAATGGAAGTCACAAATCATTCCTTGTTCGCCATTTTTTTTTGTTGTCGCTAAAAGCTGCGGCTCCATGTCTAAGAAAAATATCACAGGATAACAGGATGGCGCCGGAGCACCAAAAAACAGTCACACGACAACGGCGTGGTCCAGACGGGCATTACAACTCTTAATGCTCGTCCATTTAAGTTAGAACTACGGATTTATATATATATATATATATATGTGTGTGTGTCCCCGCTTCCGCCGGCTGCACCACCAGTGAAAGGATCCACTCATTGGCACTGTGCCGGCGTCCTCAGTACACCGACCCGGGCAGATTGTTCTTCATCTGTGCGTGGGCATTCATTGAGGCTGCTCTGGCACCGTCCGCTGCAGCTTCGGTGTCCGTGTCCCCGACTTGTCCTCCCCGCACGGTCTCCGGGGCGGGGCGAAAAGGCGTTGATCGTTTGAATTGAAGAATCACAACCGACATGTTATCGCACCCGACACCAAATGGTCGCGGCGAGAGACACCGCTCTATAAGCCTTTCTGCTATCTTGTCCAACGGAACCCGGGCGTGGATGCGCTGACGCACAAACTCCACTACCTGATCGTTGCTAAGCACGTCCCATATACCGTCGCAGGCGATGACGGCAAACTCGTCATGGTTGCGATTCAAGCGCATAAAACGCACTTCCGGGGCACTCGTAACGGCCTGCTGATCCCACGACAACTGCGTGTTGCACTTAAAGACAAAGTCCCCAATGGCTCGGCTAAGGGCAAGCGCTCCATTTACGCGGCGGTTCCACACATATCCCCCCGCCCTTTCTATCCTTGATAGCTCGCCCGGAAGAAATGGCTTGTGATCATTACTGAGAGGCAGTGGCTCCCCGTCACGGCAAAGCACACAGCGGCTGTCCCCGGCGTTGCCGCAGTACACGTCATCATCCTTCACCAGCAGCACAATCGCCGCGCAACCGCTCCTTTCGTTCGAGAAGGTGGCATATATGTGTTTATCAATGGCAAGAAACCCATCATAGAGAGCTTTTATGTAGTTCCCCTCCTCAAACGCCGCGGTCCTCGAGACGAAGTCAAACAGGTTCCCGGCGCAAAACCTCGCAACGTTTGACCCACTGTGGCCGTCAAAAACGCCAAAAAAACCTCCATCCTCGTCAAGCAGCGCCACATGGTCATCCTCCATGCTTCTACGCCATCCTTGCATACAGCTAAACCCATACGATATCCCGGCGTTCTCTTTAAACCCCGAAGTTTTTTTTACATTTGGCTGCTGCATGACATCCGCTCGCCGCAGCATCTCTTGGTAGTCCGGCCTGTCTCCAGTCACGGACACTAATTGGAAGAGGTACTTCAGGAAGTTGAGGGCGCCGATAACCCATAGAAACGCCAGAGTGAGAAGTGCAGTGACGGGACCAAATCTCACTGCCACCCAATAAACAATGCTCAAGGACGCCAGGAAGGTGCAGGTCGAGCAGAAAATTGCGACCCAGCGCAGCCCCACTGTCTTGAAGAGGGTATCATACGGCCCACCGCCCGCCATTTCTCCGCGCGTGGGCACTCGCGGAAACCACCAACCCTTCCCTCTCACTGGGTCCCCCTCTTCTCGGTGAACTCCAGTTTCCTCTCCTTTTTTTCTTTGTGGGTTTGTGGCCACTCCGTCGCCGCCGCCTTTGCGGCCGTGTCAGAAGCTCCTAAAGGCAACCCCGTCCTCGCAGGTACGTCGAAGAATAAACACAGGGCCCTTCCACCGTAATTATGTATATACGTATAGCGTGTGTATCTGTGTGTAGAAAACTAGCTAAATAGTATATACAATTTAGGGCTACCTGACGCGTATAATGTTTACTCCCAGCAAGAAAAAAGGGAGATGGGCTAGCGGATAGATCGAGAGACAACGTTGTGTGAATGCGTGCAGGGGAGGCAGCAAAACACCGGCAACAATCAAGGTGGCAAAGGCATCCCCAGAAATGCCCATCTCCCTCGCACGCGAAAATAGAAGCAGCGACAGTCAATACTACTAAATTTTAAAAAAAGCACAGAAGGTACGCGTGGATGAGGCGTTCTCCTTTTCTTCTGCGTACGCCAAAAAGGAAAAAGGAAAAAGAAAGAGATAATATAAAGCGTTTGGCTGATTGTGAACAACATTGCAACTGTAAAGTGATGCGCTTCTCCCCGGCAAAGGGTAAACCTTCGGCACATCAGGGCGTTTTATAATCACTAGACTCTCGTTGTGAAGGCACGCGATGGCGGTCTTTGGGCCCCCGCAATCGTCGCGCCCCACCGCGTGGAGGGCGTCATATTAGCAGTAGCAGTTGGGGTGAGAGGATTAAGATTGAAAGACAGAGAAGGAAGAAGAAGAAGAAAAAAAAAACGGCAACAACAACTGCGTTCACGCTGCAGTTCACCGCGGCATTGGTAGAAACGGATCCAGGGGCTGCTAGCAAAACCAATTTACATGAGCAACTCACCCCCTCTCTTACTCAGCCGCAACCGGACGCACGTTTAGTGTAAGCGAACACCAGCACAAAGGAAACAGACGGACCTGCAAGGATGTGAATAGACAAGGAGTGTAGGCGTGCCCACACGCGCGCAGACACACAGTGTAAGAAAGAGCAGATTACACAAACCTCAAGGTCCTTGGAATGCACCAATTATCCACCACCCAGAATCTTTCTTTCTTTGTTTGTTTGTTTTTTTAATTTTTATTTTTGAGGCGGGAGAGCTGATTTGCATCCCCCAAATTACACATGCCTGTCTAACCATCGTCGCAAGCGCAGAAGCCCACACGCACAGAGTAACGCGGAAAAAGACACGACACTGAGGACGCAACGACACCCGAAGTGCGACCACGGGAAACGCTGCCGGCCCCACGAAAAGGGCAATACATATAAGGATGCATGCAAAGAGAAATCTCCACGTTCAGTCGAAAACAAACCAAAAAGCAAAACCATCATAATACCAGCCGCACAACACCGTATTCCATAAGAGCGCTTCCAGACATAAACACTCTTTCCGCTTTGTTAACGAGTGCTACAAAAAAAAGCCCAGGAAACATCAAAAACACGCAGAAAGGGAGAAAGAAAAAAAATGAAGAGAAAACGCGCCATTCAATTCAACTATAATCCTTGACTAGTTTAGTGTAAGGAAGAAACTAAGTAACACCAGAAGCTTTTATCTATCCTGAAGTAAATGCACGCTGTTGTCTACGTGGAACAAAATGAGGAGTCGTCGTCACTGTTTAAGAGTTTTTTTCCAGTAGAAGTAGTCAAGGATGCGGCAGACGCCTCAGTGGCAGTTGACGCAAACACCGTGGTGTGTCCTGGTGGTAAAAAGAACCGCTCGGGAAGCGCACCCTGCGCAAGTGGCAGCGCCTCCTCAGCCTTGCTGTTCCGCCCTGTAACAATTAAATCAGGGGCTGAGGGAGCTTCTTTCGCCGTGAGGCAGTAGTACTCGAGAGGTAACTGGCCCGTCAGCTGCACTGCATTGCTCGCCCCGGGCAGCGTTTCGTAAACATAGCTGCCAAAGCGGTGTGAGCTAGAGACCGTCGTACATCTCTGTGTACTCTGCATGAGGAGGCTGGATGCCTCCTCCTCATCGGGGAGGACTGAGATCTTCCTGGGCGCCACCGGCGGTTGCTGTCCCTTTTCGTCATCAGGCTGCAACTCCGCGCGCGACTTCCTCGGCGCAGTTTGTGACGGCTTCAGCTCCCACTCGTCCGTGCGCCCCGAGGCGCTGGGCTTGGAGAGCCCCGTTACGAGTTCCGTTTGCGTGGAGGTTCCCGTGTTTGTCGCGGAGTACGCCGAAAAGGGGTCAGTGGTCAGTTTGTCCATGAGAGTGGCCACAAACGCCTGATTATCCAGCAGCGACGCCAGCAGCGACACGGCGCTCCCGGAGTCAAAGGGCGAGGTGGAGGGCGTCTTGGTCCACGCCGCCATGCGCAGCCGCTTCACCTTGGACGACACCTCATCCGCGAGGACGAGCACGACGAGCCTGTCGTACAGCGGCGTCCCATCAGTGAAGGCGCTCGACGCCGTCCCCACGCCCAGCCCCCGCTCAATGTCCGGCAGGAACTTCAGCAACTGATCGGTCACAAATCCATGGTTCTGCTCATGGTAACGCAGCAGCGCCGCCACCAGGGCGAGAATCTTGCTCCACAACGGCAGCGGCGTCTCTGGCGACTGAAACAAAAACGTAAACGGCGCCACGACAAGCGCTTCAAACTGGCGCTGAAACGAAGTCACATGAACCGCATTTAACTCTTGACTTTTTCGGTACGAGTCGGCGCAGCTGTGCAGCGAGCAAAGGTCCGTGTGGCGGCTCTTTGAAAGCGAAGATGCCAGTTCTACGGACTCTTGCTTCCAACAACTCCCTCCAATCACCCGATGCAGCAGGAGTTCGACAGAGGGAACGTCAAAGATCTTCAGCGCGGTATGAAAAAAATCCCCAAGCATAAACATCATGCGTGACGACAACCCCTCCGCGGTCCTCTCACAGCCCGGTGGAAGCAACAGCAGGCCCCGTTTCCAGGACTCCGCAAAGTAGCATACGTAACGCGTAAAAGGACGATACACGGAGGACGGGGCCGGTCCCATTTCTCTTTGAGCGGAAAGCTTATGAGGGAGTTGGCCCTGGAAATCTAGAGAACGCATCCCCCTTCTTGCGAATGCCGTGAACCTCGGGGCATGCGTTTCATAGTCGAGCGACACCCAATCACACAACAGCAGCAATTCTGTAAACGCCAGAAGCACCGCAGGCTCTTCCTTCTCGCCCGCGTACTCATTGAGGTAGTTCAGCACCACATCCACGGTGTGCTCCACGTCATGTTCCTCCTGCGCTGCAGACGTCGGGTTTACCCTTTTCTTCCGACTCACCACGTCCTCCTTGCCTTGGCGCAACAGAACAAGTTGCACAGCCTCACAGTCAGGCGTAACGTTTATGCCCAGCGGATACAGCAGCGGCAGCGGGGGGCGAGAAATGGTGCCGAGAAACTGGGCACAGCCGTAGCGATGAAAGACCGTCAGCACATCACACGCTGCCTGCCACATGTCTGGGTCAAGCAGAAATGCAAACCCCGTCCAGAAACATGTCAAGAGATAATGCGCCGGGAATGAGCTGTTATCACCGAAGGGAGCGGAAAGTAAAAGCGCATCCTGCTTCCTTCCCTCCGCCTGCCCCGTATGCACTTCTGTGCAGTAGTACGTTTCATGAATAATGATGTCACTCAGCAGGCAGGCCAGGGACCTCAGAACCGAAGCACAGAATTTGTGCGCTTGGACCCGTACAAATGGCCTCATCACAGATGAGGGAGACTCGTTTTGTAGCGCATTCATCTGCCGAGAAAGCGCAGTAACAAACCGCTTAAATGCATTTGCGCCCGCTAACTGCACGGCTGTCCTTTCCATCCACTTGTGCTGGAAATCACACCCCACCACCAACACACCTGTTGTGTAGGAAAGACAAAACGATATCACTCGCGCCACCTTCAAGGAAAGGAGTGAGATGTAAGAGTGGAGCAAGTGACGCCAGGCGTTGGCATCGATGTCCTCATAGGAGTTGGGCCGCAGCCACGTCGAGAACTCATGGAGGCAACGCAGAAGAAAGTGGCGCCCACGTACATTGCGACCTTGCCCCGTGATGTTCAAAAACAACTCTTTTAGCACGAGCTCCACCGACGACGACGGCGTCCCCGAGCGGCCCACATCGAAGACGGTCCCCTCAAAATACAAACACGATTCGAAGGTCAGAGAAGTTCCCCCGCCATCCCAGTTTCTCTGACCCCTCATCATTGCCGAACGACGCTGCAGTCGCGCAAATGACAGCTTCAACCACTGTTTAAGGCTTGACGACGCGCGGAAGGTTCCTTGCGTAGAGATATCTTTCAGGAGGATGCCAAGTGCATCAAATGCGCTCTCCACCACAAAAAAGCGTGAAGACAGCTCCTCCGGCTTCTCTCCAAAGCACAAATCCCCAAAACCCATGTGCACAAGAAGTATGCACGCAAAGTGCAGAAACAACGCGACAGATTCCCTCTGAAGGAGGCGAGATGGATCATTGATTCGATTTGAACGCTTCAGCCTCGCCTCTTTCCTCAATTTGGCCGCTTTTTTGAGGTTCGACAACATTGCCTCTGTGACGCTTGTCTTGGGCAGACCGGCGTTTACCACGAACGTACCAACGCTGCTCTCCTCGGAATTATGCTCCTCCTCCTCCTCCTCCTCCTCCTCCAGTTCCTCGTCCTCTTCGTACCTGCGCTGTTCACAAGTTGCCTTCGGCAGTTGGGGCTCCGCCGACGTCGAAGATGGCTGGCCGTCGCTGTGCGTGTCATGCTCGCTCACGGGGCCCAAACGCTTGGCAGAAGCCTCCATTTCACTCTCCGACCCGTTTTGGTCGTCAGAGGTGGACGAAAACATATGTGAGGCGGCGACTGGACGCAAATCACTTGCCGCCTCCTTCATGGTAAAACTTGTGACGCTCGAAAGATCTCTGTGTAGCTCCTTCCAGAGGCGCCGGTCGCGCTGTCGCAGTCGCTCCATGGCCCAGGACGCAAAGAAGAGAACGCTTAGAAGGGGTTTGACAAACCCCCCCTCCTGCAGCGCGACAACGTCGTCTAGAAACTTCCTTGCGTCACTGCTCGCCCCAACTTCTATAGGGCACTCTCGCATAAGAGAAGAAGCAAAGTTTGCCTTGAGATTCTCGTTTGTTAGCTTCAGCGAAATGCGCCAGATATTCTCTTCCTTAATCCACAAAAACCTGCCTTTGGACTTGGAATTCACCTCCTTTTCTTTTTTGTCGGCGAATTCAGGGGGCTGGGGGAAGTCGAAGAGCACGCTAGGAAACTCTGCCCACACCCATCTCCCGGCACCGCAAATGTTGAGTGCGACTCCCCTGCTAGCTCCATATTTGCACTCACCCTCTCTTCGGTACGGGTCACGACGTCACGCAAAAGCCGCATTTGGTACAGTGAGAAGAGGAGAAAGCTGTAGTACGCCCCACGTGAACGCCCGTCTAGCTTCCCATCGTGCCCTTTGCCCCGCAGTGTCATTTCATGATTGATGTAGCTGTCAATGTAATGCGTCACCAGACGCTTGTCTGCCAAGTCCATTGGGGACCCCACCAGGATGGAGACGAAGAGTTCCCTTTCCCGTCCCTCGTAGGCAATCCATCCACCCCACAGCGTGGCGAGGGCAAGCTCGGAGCTCGTGTTCCGGCAGATGTGTGTAACACTAAGCACAGTGCGCAGGTTGGATTCCGTTGGTTGCACCCGCCGCAAAAAGAACGAAAGCAGACTTAGGGCTATGCGCTGCCGCTCTAGGGCGCTGGAGGTATTGCACCCCGTCGAGAGAATATCCTCGCTGGCCAATAAGAAAAGATACTGTACAAGACCATTTTCCGCCTCCCCCTCTCCAGAGCCTTGGCGATATGTTTTCATCAGCAAACACAGCCAGTCATCCAGCGGGTCTGCCATTGGCTCAATAGGGGCTTCCCCACAAAGCAGCACGAGCAGGTCATACGCCCTGGACTGCACAGTGGGATCAAAGAAGTACCCAAACCTTTCGTCTTTATAAAGATAGACCAAGGCGTAGTAGATAATACTTCCCATAGTTTTCAGCTCCAGGCCAACCACATCACTTCTCCAGCTGGTGGCAGAGTAGGTGAAAGGTGCATCATTACTTGTAACGGAGCGCGCGCAGGACAAGTACGCCTTCTCATGACACCTATGCGTCAGCATAGGCCCCTTTCGCCCACCCCACCTTGCCGTACACGCCGTCACAATAATGGAAAAAAAGGTGCGATGCACAGGGCTGCCTAACGGAAGCTGACGAAGTACAAAAATCACTGAATCACGCAACGGAGCGTCGGCCACCAAAAGTGTGACCGCAAGCCCAAACACGCTCGGCGTGTGCGTCTCCAAGCTCTTGCAGTCGATTGGTAAGGATTCCTGTAACCACTGGAAAAACGTTATACCAAATGTGTTAATGATAGGGCAGGCATGCTCCAAGGGGCCTCGGCGAAGTGTAGGCTGCTCAAGCGAAGAAACTACAGTTTGTAGTGCGAAAATGCTCTTGTCCATGACTGCATTCATCTTCCTTGGCAATTTTTGCCCGAAACCTCTCCCTGAATGGCGCGCGTTTCCCTGAAGGAACCAACGCACCTGGTACGTCAGTGAGTAGAGCACTTTCGTGAGAAATTTACCCTTGAAATGCGGCTCCAGGAATTTGGCATCTTTGGAGTATACAAGCGCAATCACGTCGCACAGAATGCCGCGAAGAAAGACTCTCAAGGTGACGTCGCTTAGCGCAGTTTGAACCACCATCGACCTGCCGTCACTCTGCGCCGTAACGGAGGAAAGCGAGGGAAGCGACAAGCACGATCGCACGGAGACGCCGTTTCCCTCACACACGATGCGACTCAGAGCCTCAACGGAGAAGCTGCGCCCACTCTCCTCCTCCGCCGCGTGGTCCTTGCTATGGGGCTCGCCCAGCAGCAGTCCATCAATAACACCCTGAAGAATAGTCTCCATTTCAGCACGCTGCGTGGCAACCGTGTTTTGTTTCCAACCGGGGACAAAGGGAGGTTTCAAAAAGTAACGACGACTGATGACAAGAACCATTGGCAGTAAAACGGCATAACAGATATGTACAATCGTCTGCTTCGCTCGACGTGTCTTGCCGCCTCCTGCGATTAACATATTCAACAGCGCCACCAGGATGGGGTGCTTGCTGTCCATGATCCCACAGTAAGTGACAAGGGATGTGCTCCCCGTCGCGACGTATTCCATTGGCCCGAGGAGCAAATACTGCATCATGTCCACAAAGTATGTTAAGGCGCTATCTGCACTAATTTCATGCACAAGCAGCGGCACCGTGATGGCCTCCATCAGGTGTTGGTACGCCGCGTGACGATTACAAATATAACAGTTCACCTCCTGTAACTCGTTGGCCCTTCCCGCAAATGTGGAGTTCCCGCCTTGCTGATGCCCCGCCCGATTCCGCTCACCCCCACGTGTTAGCCGGTTGGCATCCGGAGAGGACTTCACATTATCAACGCAGAGGAGGAGAAAGCGGAGCACATAGCAAGACTCCCAGACGGATGAATTACGCTCCATCTGCCGATGAGATCCCCTCTCCACCACCTCCCCAGCAATGGCGCACACCGCACGCACCAACGCCGATCCTGGGCGGTAGCCATACATGAGAAGCGCCAGTGCGGTGGTGGAAACAAAGACGAAGTGTGGTGTGGTTCCATCCTCTGAGAGGCAATGTGCGCCAAACGACGTGGAGACAAGCGTGCTTTCGGGCCCCACCGCCGCTGGACGCGCGGAAACGGGTTCGCGGAGGGAATTGCTCGCTATGGACCAGTCATCCACGGCCATCCCTTGTCGTGTCTCTTCGGCAAACCTCTCATACAGGGAGCCTGCCAGGCTGGGCACCCCTCTGTCGAGGACATGCGCAAGCGGCACGTAGCGCTCCTTGTTCGAGACGTACATCTCCTCAAACTGTTCACCGAGTTCCCCAAAAATGTCGGCCACAGCAACACGGGGAGAAATCAACTCGTCGGTGCACAACGAAAGTCCACCCCCGTTGCCTGCAGACGGCAGCGGCGCATATAGGCTACAACGTGCGCCATCAAGGAGGGGATTGTCTGGTACTCGGGCTGTCCCCCCGCAATGAAGGCGCTGCAATCGCAAAAGTGAGGAAACCAACTCCAGCAGAAACAACGCAGTTCGACGCACTTGCAATTTTGTGTGCCCCAATAAGGCAACGGCCAGTCCCTCCAGCAGATCAATAAGGGCAATGTTGCATATCGCCTGCACTGCGCACCAGTCCTGTGAGCCCTGTGACGAGCCCAGCTCCTTAGGACGCAGCGGACTCACTTCCAAAACATCCAAAAGCCAAGCCCATTTGGCGCGACGAGCGGCAAGTGTCTTCTTGTACTCCTCCCTATCAAAAGAGTCTCTCTTAATGGAGCTGCAGCTTGGCACCCCATCCCCTTCGGCCTTCTGGGCGTACAGGTCCTCATTCACAAGGGACTCCATCCTATCCCGCAGGTTTGATAAGTGTAATCGCACGTACTCGACCAGGCGTGCCACGCGGCCAACCTCATCGTTCCCCAGCTCCACAATAATGCATTCTACGAGTCGGTACAGGGCGAGCGCCGAGCTCCACCTGCTCTTTTCATCCGTTTTAAGAAGATAAAAGGGAAACACAACGTTCGCCACCACCTCATACAGCGGCGTCTTCGGCCCCATCAGCAGCTTTGGAAGCACAAGGCCGCATTCCAGCAGCACCTGCGGCGGATCCCAAAAACGAGCCAACATAAAAATGGGAACCAGCTGATGGGTGTATTCCGCGATATCCTCGGCACGCTCGTTGGTATGGAGTTGTCGGGCATAACTAAAAGCGGCCTCACGAAGCTCATTGATCCCCTGCCGGACCTCCTCCTGCGTCTTCAAGGAACAAATCACATTTCTCAGGCTGCCCCCGCGCCAGAAAATAGCAAGAGCTTCAACAGTAGCCACCACAGGCCGGTAACAGGTTCCTTGAAGCGCAATAAATCCAATGATTCTCTCCTTTATAGAAGACTTTTGTTCCAGGGGTGCGTTATACATGGCGCCGAGCCGCCTCCTGTTTTCACCCGTGGTGGTGGAGGCCAGCAAAATATCCTTGGCGGTACTTCCTTGGTGGACCACAGGAGAAAAAGTTCCACAGTTGTACAACTCAAAGAGAGCCCACATGGTGCGTATGGCGATCAAACGGCCACGGGTAATACCAGTGCCGTTGGCACTCTTTGAGAGCACCCTTGTCTTCGCCTTAGCGTCCAATAGCCTAAGCAGCCAGTGCAGCGCGGAGGACTGAAATGGCTCCTGTTGCAGTGCAAACAACAAGAGATCAGAGGCAATCTCGATGCAGGAATAAGTGTACGGTGTGTCCTTCCAGCCCTTGGAGCCAATCACGTTTTGCAGCACCTTTTCCACGGAGCCAAAGAAGCTCATGATGGACTTGTTCCACTTGCACGGGGAGTGGAGATCATGACTGGCGCAGACGTCACAGAGCAACCCACCGGCGTGCAAAGTGGCGTGAAGAATGGCAGTCCTCTCCATGTCGTTGGCCGACACAAACCACGACTCCATTGTGGCAAAGAACTTCGGTAGCCTCCGCTCCAGCTCCTTTAGAGAGCATCTGCCAAGGAGAGCTGCCAGTGAAAGGGAGTAACAGATCGCATGTTTCGCCTTGTGCCAGCTGTCAACCTCCTCCAGTAAGCCATCCACCAGTTTTTCTGTTTGTTCCCACTCTTGCGACCATCGGCTCGCGTGGGAGGCTCCGTACGGAGCTGACTGCGAAAGTAGGCACCCGGAAAGGACGAGCGTCACCACCTCTTTTAACCGCCTCTCCCGCTTCGAAAGCAGCACCATCCCCCGGAGAAGCTCAAAAAGGTCGTGGAGTGGGCCAGGCGGCCCGGCAGGGCAGGTAAATGTATGGCACAACTGCACCGCGTAACTAAACAAGCCGGCAACATGATCCACTATTGCCCTCTCACTTTTATTCCCGCCGCCCATCCTTGATAGCCCACAAAGCTCTGAGAGAACATCTATCGCCCCCTTGAAGCGATAAGAGAATAAAACTGGACGGCACTTCATCAGAAAAATGGGCAGGCTCGCTGTGCACAGCTTATCCGTGACCTGCGACACTCCGTCGGTTGAAGTTCCCCACCACCCTTGTTGTCGCCTCCAAATGAACACCAGCTCCTGCACCAGCAGTCCAGGGTCGGCGGTGGCGTGAGAGGGATCGACCTCCTGGATGAGATTGCCCCAATCCAGGTCTTCCCAGCCTTGTGAGGAGCGACGTGCCTCTTTCATGACAGACACGCACGTGTTCAACAACCCCCTCCAAAGATCCTCATTCGACGCCTCATCCAGCTGGGAGAGAAATCCGTAGCACAGGCGGCTCAGCAGCAGAAGGTGCATGTCTGACGGACGCGTCACAAGGCCCCCCGATGAGAGGACATCGTAAAAGTGATTCTCCAGCATCACAGCAAGATTCAAGGAGAGAAAAAAGACGGGTGGCAGATTACAAAGAGAGGGACGAAAGCCAGTTGTTGCCTCGCCCACAGACGGCCTGTAGAGGTCACGCAAAAGGAATCGGCTGCACTTTACAAAACCCCCGCATCGAATACGGGCAAAGTCATCCGCAGTGAAGATAAAGGCCAAACTATACGCCCAAATAAGCTCCACTGCACTACCGAGCATTTGAGCGTGACTACGGTCCCATTGAGCAGGGAGGTCGCTCCTTAAGCCGCGAACAGACGCCGTTAATGAGTGCGAAGAGAAGTTTGGCGGGTATTTCTGCTTCAGTTCGCCGCAGAGAGATGAAACAACTTCCATGATAGTCTTTTCTACGCCATCCATCGCCGTGTTCAAAAAGACGTTTGGAATCTGTTGCAGTGAGCGATGCAGCGTGGTGGACGCGGCGAAGGAACCGTCCTCTGGGACCCCTAAGATACATTCCAAGAAGGCGTTTCGCACCACGGTGAGCTGCGCCACGACATCGTTGATTGCCATATTTCGCTCCAGAAACCCCACCACGGGTGCATCTGACATTTCGTTCAGAGACTTCACTTCCTGCCACTCGCCGTCCTGCTCCCCGTCAGTGGCGCAGCGGTTCCCCTCCCGCTCCACGTCCTCTGCATCACGCACGTCATCCGCCACGAACGGGAAATGAGCCGCCCTCTTTTTCATGAGGAATGCAATCAACACCCGCTTTTCGCGAGATTCTCGCTCAAACATTCGGCAGATGAATGCCTCAAAGTCATCGGTGTCGATGGTGATCAAGAAGGCGTACACGATGTTCGCGAAGGCTATTCCGAGATGCTCGACGTGGCTCATTACTCCCCACAGGCACACGTACACACCCACACACACCCGCACGCACACCGAGTCTGCGTGCTGCGTGCACGGCGCCCCTCGTTCAATAGACTCTCAAAGCAGACAATAATAAATTGTGAGGCAGCAAAAACACAGAGCCGCCTCCCTCGCTACAACGCATACACCTTGGAGAAGAGAAAGTGCTGTTGTTGTTCCCTCTTCCTCCTCCTCCTCCTGCGGTTTGGTGCTCCCTGAAAAAGCAAGTACACAAACAAAAAAGGAGGGCGACAAGAGCACAACGACAGAAAGATGCGAAAGAGACGCCGCGGCAGAAAAACCAAAACGACAATGGAGTGAGAGAACGCATCGTCCCACAGCCGCCACCCACTCGTGTTCCCTATCCCTACTGGAGTTTTTCTTCCGCGCAGCGCATTAAGGCGTGTGGCTGTGAATTTCAAAAACAGTTTAAAAAGCAGGAGGAGGAGGAGGAGGGCCGCAATGCACGGGCATGCAGCCCATTTTTCGGGTGCAAAAGAAGGCGTCTGGCACCGCCACTCCTCCTCGTCACACGAAAGTCCCTCTTCGTGGTGATGTTGCATGCGCCCACCACGCGCCTCACCTGAACCAACAAACACACCCACAGAAAAGAAAAAAAATACACAAACGAGTACCGAGAAGGAAATACCAACAACAACAACGGTAACTCAAACGACAAAACACGGCTCCAGGAGTGTGCGGAAGATCACACGTAAACGTTAAAAGGGGCCTTCTTCCCTCCTGAAAGTGGTGGAATGGGTTGTGAGGACGCTTTGGGGTCTTTTTTGGGAGGTGTGTAGAGGCGGTTGAAGACGTTGTTTCTCAGTCGCCCCCCGGCGCTAGTGTTGTTCTCAGAGGAGAGATTCGAGACCTGCTCTATAACCGTCTGCGTCCTAGACCTCCCAAACAGCGCGCGTTGCCGCTCATTTTCGTCCAAAGCGGCAGACGGAATTGTTGAGGCGGTCAAAAACCTTACAAAGGAGTGCGGCTCTTCGTTGTGAGGCGTTGCTGCGGCAGCGTTTTCATGCGCAATTTGGCGGAAACAAGGGGCGTCGTGCTGTTCGTACGGAAAACAATCAAAGTCATGCGTGGTGGCGCCACCACGGGGTGCAGAGCGCTCAGTATATAACTTTTTGCTGTGCCGTGGCGAGAGGACAGACCGCGGCCCCATCTGCGTACCAAGTCCCGGACGCCATGCGGCTGACGGCGTCAGGGGGTCCTCCCCCTGGACCGGCTTTGCTTCCTGTCCCAGACCCCGGTGGGCTGGCGACATCAGCCGGGACCCCGGCGGGGTCTGCAGTGTTTGCGAGATGTCCTGTCCGACGGAGGCCATCCTTATGGAGGCTCTATCCAGCAACCTTTGCGCCTCATTCATGGCATCAGCTACACCAACGGAAAAGGAGATATCGATGCCACTGCATCGCAGCGCGTCAAACGAGGCATGGCTGCGTAGGTTCACCAAACTGCGGAGCAACGTCGCCACATCCTGCTCCTCAAACGGATTGCTCATTGCCGCCTGGAGTTGGTCCACCGGCTCAGGGGCGGCCAGCGTAGATTCCTCAGGAAACTGCATTGAGGCGGAGTGCATGCTCGCGTGCCGACAATCCAATAGTACCTTTTCAACACGCCCAACGACACCGGCGTCGGCGCCGCCATCTTGCTCATCCTCCTCGTCTTCGCTTGAAGAGACATAAACGTGAGCAAATCTGCCCCGTCCTTCCGCCCTCTTCCCTTCCTTTGCACACCAAAGAACACTTGCCCCGTCGTCTGAAAGGGAAAACTGGCCATTCCTTGGAGGTCGAAAGGAGGCATCCTTCACAAGGCGCGAGACATGATCCTGAAGCCGCCAAAGAGGATCCACTCCGTCATTCGATGGGTCTACTGTGGCACCTGGCGGCGGAGACGTAGGGGGGAGGGGAAACCCAATGGAATTTTTCGTCCAAATTGACTGGAGCACACCGCGAGGGAGGCGTGTGACGAAGTTGTACAGCTCAATCCACTCTTTGGCTCCGACCGAAGGCGTTTGCAGTACCTCGATGCGTTTCCTTAGCTCCAGTTCGACACGAAGTTCCAAAGAGAGTGGAAGCGGAGGGCCAGGCCTGCTATTCCCCCGTTCTGGTGGACTGAAATACAACGCCGCAGGGGTAATCGGCGAGGCAACGTCCTTGCCCTTACTAACGATGGGGCTAATACACCCAAGCGGATCGGCGCCAGCCGGAGCTGAGCTGAGAGCATCAAAGCGACAGAAATCCTCCCAGTTGCCGTTGTCTGTCTGCGTTGAACGCGTCATCACGGATTGTTCCTTCCCCTTCTCTACCTGTGTGGCACCTGTGTGTGTAGCCTGCGCGTTGGGCACCGTGTGCCTCGCAGTGAGCAAGGACGCAGTGAAGTTACTGCTGTGCGGAGACGGATGCGACAGGCCCATTTCTATAGGAGAAAAATTTGCAGTTAATTTCCGCGGCGGCGGCGAAGAGCTTTGGTGTCTAGCAGCAACATCGCCTTTTTTTGTGTCCAAACGGCCGTTGCTCGCGGGCCCCTTTCTTGACACGCGGCTGCCTGTAGAAGCGCCAACGCGGTCAGAGGGCGCAACGGACGACGACGTCTGATGGCGCCGCCTCGAATTTGTGCGGTCGCCGCGTCCCTGCTGCGTCGGGTGACGGCCGTGTGAAGAAAAAAGGGGACCCTGAAGGCAAATGAAGGACACCATGGTGAGAAGGCCGAAACCGGCCCAAATCAACTTTTCGTTGTCCATGAGACCCGCATGCAGGCGACTGCCTCGCACGCGCACGCACGCAGCTTTCCTCCCCTTCGCCCTTTTACCGCCCACCCCCTCCTCGTTGTCTCCCTCGCTCCCTCTCGCGCACACTGCGAGTTCGCGCGCGGATGTGCCTCCCTCTTTCCCTCCGCTCTCCGCCTCTCTATGCTGTTAAAGCAGAGTGCCAACGGCGTCCGGGTTGCAAGGGCGCTTCAAAAAGAAAAAAGAAATGGAAAAAGGTAGAAACACAAACAAACAGCAGGAGAAAAATAAAAAATAAATAAACGGGTGAAAAAAGGAACATAAAGGTACGCCAAAGACGCCTACCGGCGACGACGATGCATTGACCATTTTGGTTCCTCAGCGTTTCCTTCAATGTGAGCTGCCTAATGCCCATGCACAAAAAGGCATGTAATGTGCGTATTATTCGCAAACAAATATAGTTACGCCATCACCGTTATTCACACGTGACACTTAGCAGGCGGAGCGTAGCCTGAGAGACGCAAGGGGCGACCTAGGAGCAAATGATATTAAAAGATCAATACCCGCGGATGCATCACCGCGCTGAGGCGTTGCAGAGCAATTCCCCCAGCCACAGCGACGGGTAGCCCAGCGGTGCCCTCCAGCTGGTCTCCGTTCGGCAACAAGGTCAAAATTCTTTGGCAGCGCCGCAGCAAATGAAACGGGGGCAGAACTCCTTCCTGCGGCACAAGGAGCACTACCCCGCCCTGTGCCACCTCACGAAGTCGCTCCTCGGAGTCACAAAGGCTGATGTTGAACTCCGGATCGCCGCGGTGCGCATTGTACCACCTCAATGCCTCCGCAGTGGCTCTCATCTTCATCCTTTCCCTTTCCTCCAGCGCCACCTTGTCATGGGCAGTCTCGCTGTAAAGAAACGCATGACCGCAGTCAAAAAACCACCAAGCGCCAGCCGCACCGTTTGCCGCCTCGACGCGTTGAAACAGCTTAGTCGCCCACCCCTCCGCATCGCCGCTGTCGTCGCTGATGGAGCTTCCCAAGTACACCGGCGGGGTGTAGTGTTGCGTTCCCACCGTTCCCACGACATTCACCTTTTTCCTCCCAAAGTACAGCACCTGATCCACGAGAAAGGCGTTGGCACTACGAAGAATGCCACCGAGGCTACGCTGATCGCGCTCGTTCTCATAGAGCACAGATAACCCAAAGCGTCCAGGTGATGCAGTGAAGCCTCTCTGCAAGCAGACTTGCAGCAATAGCTGTCGAAACTGACGATGCATTTCGAGAATAGTGGAAACATTTTTCTTGTAGTAGAAAGGATGAATGGGACGCTGGTCCACACGCAAAATACTGCACTCAGCCGCGGTGCTGGGGAGCCGTTGACGGAAGAAGCGCTGATAGGCACGCAGGGCCTCCAATTCACTACTCGTACCGGTGCTCTTACCACCTTCCGCATCACTCACCAGGGTCCTCGCCGATGGGTAGTGGGCATCCAGAGTGGCGTAGAAGAGGGCGATACCCATGGATGTCACCACGTTAAGTGAACTTATTGTTCCATACTGTGGGACGTACACAACCACTTCGGCACGACAGTTCTTCCCGCCGGCCCCGTCGAGCTCGTCAATGTATTTCCTGCTTACGCCATTGTTTTCATGACCAACGACAAGGCGCGCCGCAGGGGGGAAGCGGCAGGAAAGAATGCTCTCCGACCGGTTTGTGTAATTCTCCAGCGCCACCAGTGGAAGTTGCCCAAGTGAGGGGGAATTCAAAAAGGCACCTTCGCCAAAGCGGGCCACTTGACGCAACGCAACACCCGGTTCCGCTCCATCAGCTGCTTCTACGTTCTGAGCTGCGCAGCGGGGGCGGAGGAAGTGAATGTCCTCCACGCGGCTCAGTGACAGAAAAAAAGGAGGGAGTGTGGTCCCAAAGTGCATACAGGTGCGAATAGAATTGAGCGCATTGAAGGCGCTTGTACACCCCTCAAGGCCGACGCATAGATGAGAATGCAGACACCGTTTTGGCCAACCACTCACCAGCCTTCTGGACCACCGTGTTAGTGGATCATCGCCGCGAAACCCCCTCGGTGGTGCCACCGCCTGTCTTAACCCCGTCGCTGTGCACCCCAACCGTAACTGCTGTGAACTACACACCATCGACGTAAGGCTGCTGGAGACGAAATAATCCCCACAACGGCCACGCCAGAAGGCGTGGGTGGATATGTGTGAATAAGTGCGTCTATGTGTGGGCCGCGACTGCCTTCCACACGACCCTAGCGAGAGCATACAGCAGCATAGTAGCAACATCGTAGCAACAGTGGGCAACAGGCACATACACACACACACACGTACACGCACACGCACACGCACACGCAGGAGAAAGACAAAGACAAAAATAAGAAAGAGAAAATAAAGGGGTAACGAAAGCAGTACAGGCTCAGAGCTAATTGATTTAGGAGCTTTGGAAACAGGCTCCAACGGAGAGTGTCATGCGCACACCACAGACACATACACGCGCACAGAGGCAGAGGCGCACATAGACACAAAAATAGCGTGGATACGAGCAACACATTTTGAGCCGGAGTAGGTAGTGCAAGGGGGTCAGGGAAGGCAAGAGTCAAAGAGGAGGAAAGGAAAAGAAAAGAAAAGAAAAAAACGACGGAGATGTGGTGCGTGGATCCAAAGAAACGAAGACCGTCTCGGTTATGAAGCCATGGTTGGTCCCCCTTTTTTTAACCCACCTCTATCAATCTTGGCTAGCACAAAAGCTTCCTCACATACACCACAAAACCACCGACGTCTCCCTCCTTTTCTCTCTGCTACTTGCAAACCCGGCTGCCTTCTCAAGTACCCTTATACATCTCACGAGATGGTTCTTGTGTTTACCTCCTCCTCTTATTATTTTTTTTTTGATCTCACTCCTTCGCCTTTTATTATTCTTGCCTCCAGAAAACTGTTCTCTCTCTCTCGCTCTTTCTCTCTTTCCCTCTCTCTCGTTGTCTCGCTCTTTTCCTTCCTTTAACTAGTTTCAAGAGAAAGATAAGTAGGGGGAGGGGGGTTATTCATCTTATTGTCGCTGTATTTCATCTGAGTGGGTGTGGATGCAATTTGTCTGATGGGGCCTTGTTGTGTCGGCACCTCCGCGCTTCCCCGCGGATTAGAGCAAAAACACAACGGGGAGGTCATTTAAAGCTACCCAGTCAGAGCTGCTGCTGGGAGACCAATGACAAGAACTTGCACACACACCTGTACAGAAGAGATCGACACATTGCCAAAATTATTGCAAGCCGCCCCCACAACAGCACATTCATAGGTGGTGACTGCTCTTAGCCCAAGTGAAGAAGGAACAACAGACAACAAGAGACAGTGTACTTAGGCGCAATTAACTGTGTCGATGTACCTGCTATAAACATAGCAAATGGCTCCCAATGCCACATTCATTTACCCGTAGTTGCGTTCTCTGTTGTTTGTATGCGTGTGTGCTTTAACAATCATGCACTAATTTTTCGTTGCTACTTACATCATACTACCTCGTCGTTGCTCTTGCCAGGCATCCTTCATGTCTGCGTGCCCATTTTACGGATTTACTTATATTTCACTCTTCTCTGGTGGTGGGTCATTAATTATTTGCGCATAAACACGCTCAGCTCCTCATCCTCACATCTCTATCATTTCCCTCCCACCGTAGCTCACGCCAATCTGCAAATAAATAGAACCTTTTTGGTACGTTTCCTTGCTTTGGTGTTTCCCCACAAGACTCTGTTATATGTTTCTGATTTATTTCTTCCGCTGAGTAACATTTTTTTCTTTGTATTTGTTACTTGTTGTTGTTACCTCATATGCCTCTCCTCCCCTAGCACGAAGCTGCCGGGGGTCGCTTGTGTGTATGCATCCCTCTCAACTTCGTCCCAAAAAGTTACAGCGCATCCCATTGGGCCACAAGCCACGGCTCAGAATATATATATATATATACTGCTCCCAGCCTCATCAGCTACATACCACGGACGACTGCGGTGGATGTCGCGGAACTGGGGACTGGCTTTCCTCCCCCCAGAGTCCCTCTTTCCTTCGCTTTACCCCTTCATGTGAAGTTTTTTTCTTTCCTTCTTCTTCTGCTTCTCTCCTCAGGTTCTTTTTGCTGAGGCCCCACTCCCCTTTTCCGTTGACAAGCGATGTTTTGTTTGCACATTTTTTTTTCTTCCCTGCCGCCGCACGTGTGTGTCACACGCCCTCGCCTTTGCGCCTCTCCCCTCCCCGCCCACGGCGACGACGTCCCCCCGCCGGACTGCTGCGGGCCCCGCGTGCCACGAACGGCACCGGACGCCCACCACCGCGAGGACGCACCCGCGCGCAGACGGAGCGAAGGACGTGGCTGCGCGGCGCAAAGGGCGAGGAGCTCCTCGCTTCGTGCCGCGCCTCTCCCTCACGAGAAATTTTAATACCACGCGCGTCCGTCATATCGCAAAAAAGAAAAGAAAAACACTGGAAAAAGGTCGCTCTACTTCGTTTCAATGCGTTGCCACGCTTCGACATTTTTTTTGGCTCGTAACGTTGCTCGCCACTCCATTGCCTCTCCGGCGGACAAACTGCCCATTCGGCCGCGCCAGTCAAACGACGTGTGTGTGTGTGTGGCGGGGGGGGGGGGGCGTTGGGCGGCAGCGGGCGCGCAACGAGCAAACGGGACACTCATGAAAGACTCGCACCAGAAGAAAAAAACAAAACAAAACAAAAACAAAAAAAAACAAAAAAAAGACAAAAAGAAAAGAAAAAGAAAAAAAAACGTAGTAATTTTTAGTAGACGTAGAAGTGT